TTTTGGTTCTTTATCAAATTTAAACAGACTATGGTCGGATAATTGTTGGTTCTCTTCATCGATTGTTTCCCTTTCCTGCCCGGTGCATCTTTTATTAAACACGTATAAGAGATCGCCTCCTTTGACTCTTGGACATTTGCTTCCCAGGAGACGCCATGTACAGAAACAAGCAATCAATGGATAATTTCAGTTTGACTCTAGTATTAAAGGAAGTTTATTGACTTCTTCCTCCAAAAGTGCTTTCTTCATAGATTATTTGAATATTTTTCCAAATACCACAACTAGTTGAACTACTTTATAAAAGCACATCCGTAGAATCTATTTTAAAAATCTCTTTTGGAAGGTTTTAATCACACGCTTTCTTTTTTCACATCCAATCTGAATGTCCGTGCTATAAAAAGAGTGACTCTTTCTTGGCTTTTCACCACAGCAAGGTCCACTAGTTCACATCTCTGCTTTTCTCCCCAACTCATAGGAGAAAGGGTTAAAAACAAGTAACAATGATATGGCTTTATAAAACAGATTTTATAATTTCCAGTTCATAAGTGAAGAAATTGAAAGCTCAATTTTATGGCTAAAATTCATATATATGACAATATCAAGTATTGGTTAGGCTGCAGATCAACTGCAACTCTGATACATTTCTGGTAGGAAAGATCAATGGTGAGCACTTTGTATTAATAAACCAGCTTGGCAGTTCTTGTAACGTTAAACATTCACTTACTATATGATTCAGCAATTCCTCTCCTAGGTGTTTAAGCCAATAGGAATAAAAGTTACATTGAGACAAAAATTTATTTGTTTATAGCAGCTTAATTTATAATCGGTAAAACCTGGGAACAACCCAGATGTTCCACTGAAGCATGGTCAAACAGACTGTGGTACAGCCATAGGATCGAGTCTGCTCAGCAATAAAAAGGAATGAATTGTTGATTCATACAACAACATGGATGAATTTTCAATGCATTTTGGTAAATAAGAGAAACTAAGTCCAAAAGAACACGTATTGTGTGATTTCATTTATATGACATCTGGGCTGACACAAAACTGTAAAAATGGGAAACAGATCAAGGGTTGCCTGGGGTTGGCAAGAACTGTACCATAGAATTTACATCTCAAGGAGTAAATGTTACTGTGTTGATTTAAAAAAAATAACCAGAACGTGAATAGAACCCCAAATGAAATAGGACTATAACAACTAAACCTAAGTATATTGCAATGATTAACCCACTGAAGTTCCTTTTAGTGCAGAAGAAAATAACTGACTTACATAACTTTTGAAAACAGTATTTTGAGTGGATCCTACAAGGCTAAAGGCAAAAACAAAACAAACAGAAACTCCCCCCCCCAAAATGGCTCACAAATACCATTCTCTAGTTAATAAATTTGTTTCTCCAGGGGTATGGAGTAGCAATTCTTAAATTAATTTATGTGACTCTTAGGATTGAACAAATGTATAAAAATAAAATGAACAGCAGTTTATGGGAGCCAGATTTCTCACTGTTGGGAGAAGTGACAAATAATGAAGGGGAAGGAGATACAAACCCAGTGGAGCTGGATTGGAATATGAGGTTTCAGTATGAACTCATGTGTTGCTGTTTTTTTTTTTTAACATATTTACATATAGGTTGATACAAAAATAAAATTATTAGAAGATTGAGTGCTTCCTGATGCCCAACACCAAAGAACAAATCTTTGGTTCCTTTATTGGATTGATTCAAAAGCCTGAAAAATCTTCAGCAAAGTAGATAAGAAATGTCTGGAAAACCTAGGTGATTGTGGTATCAGGAAAGATGTAGTATTTTATTTGTGTTGTCATCACATTTAGTCCTGATCAATTCAGCATATCTCTTTGGCTTTTTGTACTGAGGCATAATCTACAAACAGTAAAATGCAAAAAACTTGGGTGTACAGTTTGAATGAATGTTTACTCATGTATATACCTGTGTGATAATATTCTACCAATAAAGATGTAGACTGTTTCCACCAATCCAGAAGTTCTTTCATTCCTCTTCTCAATCAATACCACCCCAATATAACCACTTTTTTGATTTCTGTCACCTTCGATTAATTTTGCTTTTTATTGAATTTCATATAAATGGAATCATATACCACATTTTTTTATGTTGCTTATGTTGAATGCTATTCCAATGTATGAATATGCTGTCCTATTTATCTATCTCTCTGCTAATGGAAATTTGTGTTGTTGCCAGTTTGGAGCTACTGTGAATAAAACTGCTGTGAATGTTCTTATGCAAATCTTTTTGTGGACACGTGAAATTACTGAACATTCTTGTGCAAGTTTTATTGTTGGAGTAGAATTATTGTGTCACAGGATAGGCACATATTTAACTTTATTAGAAACTTACAAACGATTTAGACATTAGATCATTTTATACATCCATCAGCAATGTATTAAGAGTTTCAGTTGCTGCACAACTATGCTAATACTTAATATCGTGACCCATATTTTTAATTAAACTTTTATTTTGAGATAATTATAAATTCTCATATATTTTAATAAATAATAGAGACAGATCATATGTACCCTTTACTCAGTTGATTCCAATGGTAACATCTTGCAAAACTATGGTACAGTGTCACAACCAGAATATTGACATTGATACAGTCAGGATACAGGGCATTATCAGCACAAGGATGCTTCCTGCTGTCCTTTCATGGCCACATCCATTTCCTTCCTGCCCCCAACCCTTTAATCTCTGATAACTACTAATCTGTTCTCCATTTCTATAATTTTGTCACTTCAAGCATGTATATCAGTGAAGTCCAACTGCATGTAACTTTTGGGATTGACTTTTTTCCCTCCGCATACTTTTATTTTTTTGTGTTTTGCCAAATTTGAGTTCTCAGCTCTTACTTGTTGGAGTACCTTTTCAGCCCTGCCCTCTTTCTCCTCTCCTTCTGGAACTCTGAGGACAGGACTGTTAGATCTTTTATTATAGTCCTATAACTCCCTGAAGCTCTGTTCATTTTTTACCACTCTGTTTTCTCTTCGTTATTCAGGTTGAGTACTTTATTTTGTTCTATCTTCTAGTTCACTGATACTTTTCTCTGTCCTTTCCAGTTTGCTATAGAGCCCATCCAGTGGGCTTTCTTTTGCAGTCATTGTACTTTTAAGTCTTAATATTTCCATATGGTCCTTTTTAATATATGTTGCTTCTTTGCTGATATTTTCTATTTGTTTCTGAAGCTTTCTATTTTTTCATCTGTTTTAAGCATATTGGTAATTGCTTTTATGGCACTTTAAACATGGCTCCTTTAATATCTTGATCAGATAATTCTACCATCTCTGTCATCTCAGTGTTGGCATCTATTGATTGTGAATTTTTAAAAATCAGTTCAAGATATTTCTCACTCTGGGTATGATGAGTGTTTTTTTAATTGAAATCTAGACACTTAAGTATTTTGTTTGAAACCCTGGATCTTACTGAAAACTTCTGCTTTATCTGGCTTTCTCTGATATCACTCTAGCACGAGGAGGGGAACACTACCTCACTATATGGTGGAGACAGAAGCCCAGGATCTGCATTTGGCCTCTGTTGACATCAGAGGGCAGGGACAATCCTCGACCTGACACCCCTGGGTTTCTAGATAGTTAAATTTTTGTCAACAAGTCTGACACTGTCATTTATTTTTTCTTTTATAGTTAGTGCTTTTTGTATACATTTAAAGAAATCTTTGCCCATTTCCAAAGTAATAAAGATATTCTCTTATGTCTTTCCTTAGAAGCTTTATAGTATTTATTACCTTTCACATATAGGTTTCTGATCCACCTGAATTTTGCATGTGTGTATATATGTAATGGATAAGTCAAAGTTCTTTTACATACACACACACATACATATATGAATAACCAACTGCTTCAGCCCTTATCTTGAGAAGACTATCTTCTTTCCCTTTGAATTGCATTGGCATCTTCAAAGAAAACCAAGTGCTCATACATGTATTGGTCTATTTCTGGACTTCATTGTATTTATTGACCTTTTTATTTTATGTTCATACCAATAGGATATTCTTTCTTGATTACTGAGGCTTTACATAAATCTTGAAATCCATAAATACAAGTTCTCCAACTTTCACCTTTGTTTTCTAGATAATCTTGTTTTTTCTAGGACTTTACATTTCCGTTGAAATTGTAGGACAAGGTTCTCAATTTCTACTGGAACAGGTTGCTGGTAATTAGATTGGGGTTTGTTGAATTTACAGATTGAGTTGAAAGAGCTGATATTTTAACATATGGAGTCTTCAGATTCATAAATATAGCACTCTCTTTAGGTCCTCCTTAATTCCTTTTATTAACGTTAAAATTTTCATTTTAATGAATAACTTTCATTAAATTCATTCATTTGTTGATTTCATTGTAAATGACATTTTTCTTCTATTTTCCAATTACTTTTAGCTAGAATCCAGAAATACAGTTGGATTTTATATTCAGTACTTTGTTCAATTCACCTATTAGTTCTGGTAGTTCCTTTCTATATTTCCTTGAATTTTCCAAATTCATAATTATGTCATCTACAAATAAGTATGGTTTTACTTATTCCTTTCCAAATTTTATGTCTTTTATTTTTTTCTATTAGTGTCAGTTCTTCCAATGTGATTGTGAATAGAAGTGGTGATAGCGTATCTCCTTGTCTTCTTCCTGACCTTAGAGGAAAAATGTTCACTATTTCACCATTAATTATAATGTTGAAATTATTGGATATTTTCATAGATACAGTATTGCAGAAAATTTCATTTTTTTGTTTATTCTCATATTTTCAGCAGTACTGTTGATTGGTAATTTTATAATCTGGAACAGTGCAGACTCTCAGTGAATATTTGAGAAATGAATAAACTATTATTACTATGACTTTAACTCTATATCTTTGTAACCTGATTTTTCCTTAAGTTTAGGGAAGTTGTTGTCTATCATTGAATTTTTGTCCACAAGTCTGATCTTGTTGTCTTTTATGTTTTTTAGAAAACTAGAAGATTGTATATACAATAATTTAAAGATTTTCTCAGAATAACTTTTCTCAGTAAATTTCTGAATAATGACTTATCTACTCACTCATGAGACAAATATTTATTGTGTGCTTATTCTGTGACAATCTCTCTTATAAACATTGAGTACCATGGGCTTTCAAACTAGCCTTTAAATGGGAAGATTGGAAAGAAACGAAAAATTAAAGCAAAGCCAGAAATCGAGAATCATAATGGGGATATTAGTGAAATTAAAAAGTGATAAAAATAGTTAAAACCTACTTTGGAATGTTATGGAACCGATAAAACAAAGATGAATGCAGGAGTACAATAACTAAGATATCATTCTACCTTCAAAGCTGAGAAGTCTCTCAAAGGATTGCAGTTCATTTATCAGTCACGAGAGGGGGCTGCGTCACCTGCAATCTTAAGTTCCTTTCTGGGACAAGGGAAAGAAAGTTTGTTTTCCACTAAAGTTCCACAGAAAACAGGAAAAATGGCATACTTTCATCCTCTTTAGACAATTTGTACTTTATGATCTCTTGTTGAGTTTACAGGTTCAAGGGTTCAGGGACCTTTACACCAATGACCTAAGCCAAGCACCTCCCTAAACAAGCTTTCTGTTTCCCTTCCCTAATCATCTCTTACCTTCCCCATTTTTTACACCTTTTCCTACTCTCCTTTTATCTGTTCTTACCACTGCCCACACATATTTGCCTCTCCTGCTGTGCCTTCTTTCTGCCTCCGTGTCACTGGTGCACAGCAGGCAGAAGTGCAGGCTTAGAACCTTGGAAATGAGCATTAAGGCCGTGTGTTTAAGAAGGATGTGAGTCAACTCATTCATGTCATCAGTAACCACACCAAGAACAGGTGCGCTGAGAAATGTCTATTAGATGACAATCAGTACATGAAATCAGGGACCTCTATAGAAAACCTGAGTTCCGGAAGATTTGGCTTTGAGTCTCAATGTTAATAGTTTTTCCATTCCCCTTGGGCATATCACTATCTACTTGTGAACTTCACTTCCAATTCCTGCAGTGTAGATGGAATTTTCAACTCCTTAAAACATAGAGATCACTACAGTTTTCTGGGATTCAATGACACTTTCCACAAGCCCCAGGGAACATCATTCCAATTCACTGGTACATTGAGGAAGGAATCATGGAGGAAGGGTTCTGGAGAGATACATCCTTGTGATTGAATTTCCTGATCTACAGGTGGCCTCTTAGACTTTAAACCTCAAAAATGATTTCAGTGGACACCCTCTGAGTGGGGACGCCTTGCTGATACTTTCGGCCCCTTCTCAGGGGCATGACTAAAACGGGGAAGGAAGACCTAGACAAGAAACTGCTCAGACATTGGCTGACAAGATCCTGACAACACCACAGTGATAGCTGCATCCTTGCAAGTCTTTACTAGTGGCTGTTGCTTCTGTTCTCTGGAAATTCTTTAGGCCTAAGATCAGATTAAAAAAAGACAAAACTGAACTCTGGGTCCACGATACTAGTTTGTCCTTGAAGTATGAGGCTGGTGACAGAAGTAACTGTGTTTCTGACCTTGGGTAAGTGTCCTGCATCTACAGGGGGATGGCTTTTTAGGACAAGAGTCCATGAAAGGTGATCTGGTCTTGATTTCTCTCCCTATGCTTTATCCAGCACGCTAGGAATATAACTGAGAACTGGTCTGTGCATTTGTCTAGAAAGTGTGCAATTCTACGTGACAGGATAGATCATAGCCGTGATCCCAGAAGAGCCCTTGGCAGTATCCAGCTGTAAGAAATCTCTGGATTTATTGAGCCAAGAATCCATGAAATATAGCCTATGAAGTCCCTGATTATTGGCATGTATCTTTGGTCTCTATAATTAACCAGCACTTGAATATTGCTTGGGCCAGAGAAAAGAGTCATGGGAATACTGCATCCTCGATCCACAGAATTATACTGATTTGGGCATCAGGAACTAATCTGATTTTCTTGGCCCATTAGGGACTATAATTGCCGCTAAGACCACCCAGCCGAACTCCATGGATTGTGCTGAAGGAGGAGCTGTCAACATGCCTTGTAACCATTCTACCATCAGTGGAAATGAGTATATACATTGGTACCGGCAAAATCCCAGTCAGAGTCCTCAGTATATAATTAACGGTTTAAAAAACAATGTGACCAATGACATGGCCTCTTTGACCATCACAGCAGACAGAAAGTCCAGTACCTTGACCCTGCCCCATGTCACCCTGAGAGACGCTGGCATGTACTACTGCATCCTGAGAGTCGCACAGCAGGACAGATGGGGCTGCACCTGTGCAGTATCTTCTGCTGCCAAGCTGGGGCAGGGGTAGGCTGCATTCATTCAGAACAAAAGATCAACAGGAGTCAGGGAGGCAGAGAAAAGAGGAAAGGTTGGAAAAGACAAGGAATAAGGACTTCGTTTGTTGATGTGGCTGAGAACAATTACGAGGGGACTAAGAATCATGATCTTAGCATAGCAATAAAATGAAGAGGTTTAAGAATTTGTCATGATCCTTCTTCTTGTCAAAAAGGAATATTTTTTCAGTGTGTTAGTCTCAATGAAAAGGGTGAGGAAAATCAAAATAATTCTGCTCATCCCAAAGCCTTCTTTCGTCAGGATCCAGGGGCAAATCCAAGCTCTGACAGCATGCTAGTACAGTGTCCCAATAAGCAGAAACAAATTGATCTTCCTGTGAGAAAAATCTGAAAAGTTCTTTATTGCTAGTCTAGAGCATGCATATTGGTGACGAAAAAGGTTTTTCTTTCCAGAAAGAAACTAAAATTAAGTGAATATTAATTTATTTTTTGTCTTGAAGTCTTGAATCTGTAAAAAGTTTTCATCATTTTTTGATATTCCCCAGGCAACACAGAAATCCATCTCATCATGAAAGACTCAGGCAGAGCAAAACTGAATGCCCTGGCTGTATTTCCTCATTCCTCCCACCACCCTTCTCAGAGAACACGCTTTGACATTTTGTCTATCATGACAGCCTGTTTTATTTCAGTTATACGTATCTTTGCATATAATTTTATGCAACCACACACAAATTTACATACATAGGTACATACACACAGTTTTGGCATGTACATTGGATTTATTTGATTTTTTCAACTTTTTTATTTTTCATTTAATAAAGTATCCTAGAAATCTTTCTACATCAGTAGAGAAGTCCACTTCATTTATTTATTTATGTATTTTTTGGAGCCTATTTAGTACTTTGAAACATCCCATCACAAAATTACTTTTTCATTGATGTGTATTTGTTTCTATTTCCTCACTGTCATGAAGAATATTATGTTGTACATCTTTATAGATTCACCTTTGTATGTATATGTAAGTGTCTATTTTAATGAGATTGCTGAAACTAAAATTGCTATGTCAAAGGACAGGTGCATTTTAAAATTTTTTTTAATTTCAGAATTTTTGAAGAAAGTGAAAATTTGTTCTCTAAATGGTATAACTATAATCCTTATAATACATGCATTATATATATATATATATTATAATACATACAATGTAGTAATCATTCTCCAACCAACAGTGAGTGAAAGGATCCATTTTATATCCTTGTAAAAACTGAGAATTACTAACAGTCTGTATTTTAATAATCCAGAGATACTTTTTCTTTAGGCACTTCCCTGATTCCTAGTGCTTTTTGAGCAGTTTTTTCTATATGTATTGGCATTTTGTCATTTATTTTGGTCATATGTTTATGAACATATGTTCATAATGTTTGGAACATTTTTCTATTGGGTTCTTTTTATTTTGTAGGAATTTTTTCATATCTTAGATAATACTTTTACATTTGCTTGAATATTTTATTCTAACATATTGTCTTTTATTTTGTTTATTTTTAATGTAGCTTTCAATTTTTACATACTCAAATCTATCAGGTATTTATTTCCTTTTGGACTTCAAAGTTCAATGTCTTTTTTAGGAAATCCCTAAATATACTAATTATATATTTTAATCTGCATTACCATTTGGTGAAGTAAAAATTATATTGAAGCTTATGTTATAGATTAGGAAGCTAAGTCTCAAAGAGATTTAAAAACTTGCTAATATTCACAGCCTTAGTAAGTTAGCATCAACTTTTAAATTTATTTTTAAACCTGAGATTATCAAGCACTAAAATCTGAACACACATTGTTTAACCTTGCTGTATGAGAAGCAGTAGTAAGGAGAAAACCCCCAAATAATGAATCCAATGAAACATCAGTGGAATGGATCATGGTAGCCATCCCAGATATACATTTTAGAGAAAAATATCAGGGACATTAGGGTAAAAATTTCGAGTTATGAGTTGAGAAAATCAATGTTCCTTAATCTTATAGAAAGATAGTGCTAGTTTCCCAAAATATCCAAATGGTGTTGCTGATTGTGGAGGAATTTTAAAGCACCCTCAGCTCTGTATTAGCCATATATTTCTCAGGTAGAAAGGATATAGAAGGAATTAGAACATAAAGCAGAGAAAATAGAATAGAGGATTTTGATCCTTGATCTGAGTGGCATTTAAGTTTTTACAGGATATTCACGAAGACTGAAGAATTTCTTCTGGTGCATAATATGTACAGATTAATGTAAACTGCTATGATTATCATGCTGTGGAAATTGCTTTGATTCTACGAGTGTGAGTGAGATAAGGGAAAGATAGCTATACCCAAAATCTTAGAAAGTACAGTGAGATATGCTGGTGACAGTTTCCAAATGTTGGCACATCTTTTTCAAGATTCCTACAGCCAATTTTGTCATACTCATTCCCTCTTTCTCACAGTTTTTAATCTACTTTCTTTTGTTCACCTTTTGTTACCACCACCCTCTACTCTCCTATATTTAAAAACACAAAAATCTAAAACCTATATTTTTGTCTGTTTTGTTCACTGAAGTATCCTCTGTATCTAGGACAGTGCCTGGCAAATAGTAGATACTCAATAAATATTTATTTGTTCAATAAATGACTGAAAATTTTACTGGCAAATACAATAAAATACTAGGGGCATGAGTTAGATGCTCTATGAAAATACAAGAAAGAGCCCAAGGATATCACATGGATATCATAATGTAGAAAGGGAAATATTCCAAAGCCTTATTCATTCATTTATTCATTAATTCCTTCTTTTCTTTTTCCCTCCTTCTTTTCTTCCTTCCTTCCTCTTTCTTTTCCTTTCTTCTCTCCTATTATTATTTTTGAAATAGGTTTATATGTATTTTGTCAAGCTCTTCCCTGTGAAACTCCAATTAATTAATTCCCATTCAAAATTCTCTTTATCTGTGACAGTCTTCATAAATCATGTCAAGTGGTATAAAGTCCTCCTTTCTCTATTAAAATTCTTATATGTTCGTGTTTGTCACAAGGTAGTTGACCCCAGATGTTTAGAAAGGTTAGATGGCATTTAGTTAAAATACCACGAAAAGGAGGGAGAGGCTCTCCTAACTTTACAAAAAAAAAATATTGGCACTCACAATCAACCCATCGTCATAACTACGAGCCAATAAAGGCAGTGTCAAAGGCACATATGATGATTAAGCCGTGCTGTGCCCCCAGGAAACGGTGCCTGCCTAGTCCGAAGTGGGGAACGGATTAAGGGGAAATAAAGTCTTTTCTTGTCTTCCTGTCTTTTTCATTCCTGTGCAGAAATGATCACCTACCAATCAAAAAATCATGTGTCTGTCTCCTTACACTGAATGTTTTTTGCTTTAAATATTTTGCTAAATTTATCTTCATAAATTGCAAAATTAATGACTAGTTTTTACATAACTGTCAGTTTTACTATTTATACTAGTTTTATCATTAGAGATTTTCTGTGAGTAACCCTGTTTCTACATCCATTTAATAGGATATTCAACAAGAAAACTAACAGGAGTGAAGAACTCTGAGCTCTGGGGGCATATACCTTTTGAATTTTACTTCCCACAAATATATAGATTGAATCAGGAAGAGACTTGTTAGTAGTGATATTGTGGATTCTAATGTTTCACATGTTTGAGAGACTGAGTCTACAGTAAGGAGAATATCCAATTTGTTCTATCAGAATGGCATGAAATGGCCTATACACTAAATGGTATTCAAATTAACTTACCACTAGAAGTAAATAAGAGATGAGAATTTTGTGAGAAACGAAGCATACACACATATACAAATATGAAACATGGTAAAAAAATTCTGAGCTCAAAGAGGAGGAAACTGCTGAAAATAATTTATTTTAGTATTTAAAATAAAAGCTTAGAAAACTACCTGACATCATCAATGGAATGAAATAACCTGTGACTATTAAAGATATAGTAAATTCTAAGAGTAGAGAAAAGATTGAAATGGAAGACAGCATAAGACGATGATGGAGACAGCTAATAAACTTTGTGAAAAAATTAATATTCAAGTAGTTTTAAAATCAAAATTGGAAAATATTTGCACTGTTTTCCAATGGCAAATGATGATTTGTTCAATAAATGGCATTCAATAAATTGTCATATAGGAAAAAATGTATCCTGGCCTTTACCTCACATCACATGCAAATAGTAGTTCAGACAGAGCGCAGATCTGAATGTAAGAATAAAATATAAAGCTTTTAGAAGAAAATACAGAAGTTTTTCACTACTTAGTGTTAAATATTTCTTAAACAGGATACAAAAATATCTAAACATCAAAATTGGACTATATTAAAATTACCATGAAAATTAAGTTTCGAGAGTTAAAAAAATAGGCAGTGAACAGTAGATATTGGCCCACTTTGATTAAAAAAGAGAGAGACAGAGAGAGAGAGAGACCTCCTTCAAATCAATAAGAAAACAAGCAAACTCATAAGAAAGGCAAAAGTCTTAAGCAGGCTCTTTACAAAAGAAAATAGTCAAATGACCAATAAACATGCCATTTGTACAAAATGCAAAAAGATATAATTAATCTATACTGTTAGAAGTCAGGATAGTGTTACCCACAGTACAGAACAACTGGAAGATTTCATAAAGGGGGCTCTGAAATGCTAATAATTTTTTATTTCTTCATCTGGATGCTGGTTTCAAGGATGTATTAGTTATGAATATTTATCAAACTGTACACTGATGATGTATTTATACTTTCTTATATCTATAATGTACTTCAATAAAACCTTAAAAATAATACAGTGGCGTCATATTAATTACAAAGTAATCTGTGAACTAAAACTAAAATTTCAGGTGTTTTCAAACTAGTCTTCCTTTCTTGTCTCTGGGCTATTTGAGTAAGAACACATTTGTTAAACAAACATGACTTCAGATTTTAGGTATCCTCTAGTCCTCTATTAAAAGATGATAGATGAGAAATATGATAATGGTCTGTTTTCCTCTATCTTGGCTACAAATGTAGAACTTTTGACTCTTGATATGTAGTACCAAGGAGCCTACCTGCCTAGCTATGGATGCTTTGGATTATTAGAAGAGTTGAAAATTCTATTGAATAGGACATGATGATATATAGCTCATGATACTTAACACTTTATTGTTTAGAAGAGAGTTCATGGCAACTCGAGCTGCAAAAGTCTGGAGAAGGTATGTATTTTTACCTGGGAACATTACTAACTAAGAATATCAGGATTCTGTTAGTAAGGAAAAATAAAATCCACCAACTGTAGGCAAAAAGCAGTGCTTGTCATAGCCTTAAATATTAAAGTGCTCCCATAGCATTGTGGCATATCACGTGGTCAATAAAATTGGTTAGGCAACATCTTTGCCATAATTGACCTTATCGTGGAATCTAGGGTGAGTCCAGTTTGCCATAATACCAGGTAAGGGGAATTCATCCAGTCTTTGGATGTGGCAGGCTGATAAAATAGAAAAGAGAAAGAGGAACACGTGGATTGATGGCATTTATGAAACAGCTTTGGAATAATTGTCTTTAGGTTCCATGTTTAGATAAGGAAACAAGGGCTAATGTTCAGAAAAAAAGTGGAAGGATCAATACTAAGTTACCTGCTGGGTGCAGTGGCTCACACCTGTAATCCTAGCACTCTGGGAGGCCAAGACGGGAGGATCGCTCAAGGTCAGGAGTTTGAGACCAGCCTGAGCAAGAGTGAGACCCCATCTCTACTAAAAATAGAAAGACATTAGCTGGACAACTAAAAATACGCAGAAAAATTAGCTGGCCATGGTAGCACATGTCTGTAGTCCCAGCTACCTGGGAGGCTGAGGCAGGAGGATTGCTTGAGCCCAGGAGTTTGAGGTTGCAGTGAGCTAGGCTGACACCACGGCACGCTAGCCCAGGCAACAAAGCGAGACGCTATTTCCAAAAAAAAAAAAAAAGAAAAAAAAATACTAAGTTATCAATTGACATGAACACAAGAAAGAAGATTCACTATTAGCCCAAATAAACATCCCAAAGCCTCCCATTCTCATGGCCTCCATTGCAGAGACCCAGGCAATTATTTCCACGCAACGAATGCAGTAATAGCCAGGCTTGGGGATAGTGTTTCAGGTGTGCTCTGTGCCGCATGGATAGAGATCTTTTTCTCTAGTGGTTCTATCTACAAATAGAAACACATGCAGACTTTCTTGCGTACCGTATGAGAGTTGAATCCTTCTGGATTGCCCATAATTTACTGATATTTACAACACCTGCAGAGACCTGAGCGCTGATGAGCTTTATTGCAGCTGTGTTCCCCTGCTCTAGGACCCCTTGGAAGCACTTTCCGTCTACGTGATTGACTCCATCCAGGGAGGCATTATTCATGAGGGGATTTGACTTTGTCCTTTTATTTCCTAAACTGACTTTTATCTTCCCATGAAAACCTTTCCACTTGGCCTCTAAATTCCCATTCTATCAAAAACTAACATTTTATAGCCCCTCTGAAAATTCCTTCCACATGCCTTATCTGAGACTCAGCAGAGTAGTTTTCTTTCTCCTGTGTTTCTTATTCTCCCCGACCTAAAGCACCTCAGGTTTAGAGGTAGGAGCAGCTACTCTTTGTCCCCCGGCACAGTCTAGGCTGTTATCTTTGCACCCTTGAGGCCCATGCCTTTTGTCATACTTTTCCCAATTCCTTTTTTCACTGTCACCTTCATAAACAGCAAACACTCCTCTTCACCCAGTGAGGGGTTTGACACAGCTCAGAAGATTCCACCGTAAGCTGAACACCATGTGACTTAAACGTCCATATGGACCATTCAGAGAGAAGTCCAAACTCATCAACTTTAAGGACCATTAGTTCAAACCCCCTTTAACCATTAACTCTAGAAAGATTCTATGCTAATTCTCAATTTAGATGCTGCATCACCTCTGAAATCTTAGATCCAGTCTTACATCCAATCCAACTTCCCATCCTTAGATTCTCACAGAGTTACTCTCGCTGCACTTGTTCTTTGATTATGTATGATCATTTAGTCCCTTAACCCCTTTATTGTCACTTTTTTCTCACAGGCTTCTTATCTTTTATTTTCTTACCTATAACACTTAAACTCCATGGCTCATCACTTACAATCTTTAGTCATTAGCCTCATTATTCTTATCTCAATTCCGTGTCATAGCAGTGATCTTATTAATTCCCAATCATGGATCAATATCGTCCTTCTTGTAATGCATATCTGATAAGGAGGGTTCATTCAGGCTAATCACACAGGCGCGCAGACTGGCATCACTGAAACACGTTCTCTTCAACGCTAAGTAGGCCCAAAGTTTTGCCAGGACAGTGTTCTTCTTTCTCTGTCATTATCTCCCATTGCCTTTCCTACAGGAGGCTATTTCAAAACTTCTCACACACCTCAGACTTCCTGACCAAGAACCTCCCTTGGGAGACACTTAATTTCCATTTATAAGAACAAAAAATATTCCATTAGAAAATAATAGGTGTTTCAAATTTCTGCCTTTATATCCCAAAGAATTACTTAAATCTAAATCAATCCTTTCCTACTTTATTCCCAATAAAATGGGAAATAACTGTCCTTTCTCCTATCAAAATTTGGTCCTTCTACCTGTAATCCATATTCCAATCCTGTCTGTCTCCTCAGAACATTGATCTATTGTTTATAGATTCTTTCCAAAAGCATGTAAATATACCCTAATTTTAATTGCACTACCATTACCACTTCAACATCCTCATCCAGTTAACACCATGTCTCTTTCCTCCCCTTCAGATGATACAGAAATCTCTAGAAAGAAATTTCTACATTCAAATTTTCTCTTCCTGATGACTTATCTCACTGCAGTTAATCTTCTGATAAAAAGACCCAAATCATGATCCCTGTGCTGTTAAAAAAAAATCCATAGTTCAATAACACAATAGAATGACTACAGTTATCAATAATTTATTGCATATTTTAAAATAACTAGAAGGTTTGGAATGTTCTTACCACAAAGAAATGATAAATGTTTGAGGTGATGGGTAACCCAGTTACCCTGATTTGACCATTACACATTGTATGCATGTATCAAAATATCGCATGCACCCCATAAATATATACGACTATTATGTTTCAATAAAAAATCAATAGACACTGAAAGGTCATCATCTTACTAGACGTTTCTTCAGCATTCACTCTGTTGGCCATTCATTTAAAACTCCTTTTCCTTTCTTTTTAAGAACACCTGCTATTTCCGATTTGCCACTCACCTCTCCAGACTACCCTTTGAGGTTTCTTTGGTGCTTTTTCCACTATTCTTCCCTTCAGGGTTTGGGTTCCTCGAGGATTTTTTTTAGTCACTATTCTCTTCTGAATGGTGCTCTAAGCATTTGTCTGATGAAATTTCGTCTACTCTTACAGAGTAATAACGTATGACAGACGAGATAGTAGGTGAGAAACTGAGCTCGGGGTGAAAAAGAATTAGATTCCAATCTTTGTGTGTCCTTGGACAAATTATTTAACTTCATAAAGAGTTTCCCATTTGTTAAGTAAAGATAACATCTACTCTAAAGGGCTGTAGTTCATAGTGTGCAATAGTTGCCAGTGGTTAATAATGTGGATTCTTGAATCATACTGTTGAGACAAACTCCAGTTCTGTCACTTACTGTGATCTTGGGCAGATTACATCTTTTCTTCCATGCTTCAGTTTCCTCATTTATAAAATGAGGACGATAATACTATGTAGTTCATAGGATTAAATAATATTTTCTAGTTCATAATATTAAAACAGTTTCTTAATAGGCAGACCCCTGAAAGCACTCACCAGATTATGGTGCTAAGAAATTCAAACCTATATAGGAGCCTGGAGATGGAGCATAAAACCTGTTAAGACTCAATCTGTTTGTATATTTGACCTCCAGAGGGCGATGTTGAATAGGCTGGAAACGGCTGCTAAGAAAAGGTCTGTGTCACTCCTGAGCTTCTTTCCCTGGCAGCTCACTGAGGTGCACATTCTGAGCAGTATCCACACCAGAGCAGTTGTTGAGGAAGAGTATCTCTTACTAAGAGTCTCTAGGCCTTGCCTAAACGGGGAGCTTTTGAATCTCACATTTTCTCCATTACAAGGACTCGGCATCCTCTGGCACGTTCCTTCCTGCTCAGGAAGATCTTCCAGAACAGAGCTCTCAGCTTCACTCACTGCCTAGCCATGCTCTCAGTAACCATTCTACTGCTTGGAATGCTCTACACACTAAGTAAGTAATATTGTAACCCTGTTCCTGCCTCCATAGAAGGAATATTGTTCCAGTTGGAATTTAAATAGAGGCGCTGTCTGTCTCATTACAGGTAGGTCTGTTCTGGTCTCACTGACCCAGCATTGATGTTGCAGGAAGAACAGGAGCCCAGTCAGTGGCCCAGCCGGACGTCCACGTCACTGTCTCTGAAGGAGACCCTCTGAAGCTGAGGTGCACCTATTCCGGAGGAGTAGTTACCTCTTATCTCTTCTGGTACATCCGATACCCTGGCCAAAGCCTCCAGTTTCTCCTCAAGTACACATCAGGGGACACCTTGGTTAAAGGCATGAAAGGTTTCGAGGCTGAACTGAGGAAGAATGAAAGCTCCTTCCACCTGAAGAAACACTCAGCCCGTTTAAGCGACTCTGCCCAGTATTTCTGTGCTGTGAGTGACACAGTGCCTGGAGCTGCAGGGGGAGCTGAACACAAACCTCCTGAGACACTGGGTTTTTCAGAGACTCGGCACAGCCTGCCCTGTTTGTAGAAAGGTCTCTCATGTAATGAAAGCAAAGAGGATGGAAGAGCAGAGACATGGGGAGTGCTTGGCTCCTGAGAAGAAACAGGAACCTCAACACATTCCTTCTTTTACTACAAGGTCATGTCACACAAGACCTAGAACAGAGAGACTTCTGTGGATGTTCTCCTTTTGCCTGCAGATACTACATTCCAGAGGGTCAGGATTCTGTTAATAATTTAGTGTGACCAATGTAGGACTCCTGCTCTTTCCCCCCTCACCTCTGATATGCTGCTTCTACTACCTTTTGTTTTTCAATTGATAGCAACTCCATTCTTTCAGAATCTCTGGCCATAACCTCAGATTTATCTTTGACTCATATTTTGTCTCTCACTGTTCACATCTAATCCATCAAGAAATCTAGTTGGCCCTATCTTAAAAATTGACCCACAATCTGATCACTGCTGCCTCCCTGGTCAAGCCATCCTCATTTCTCAAATGAATTACTGTGAGAGCTTTCTAAATGATCTCCCTGCTTGCCCTTCCACAGTGCATTCTTAATACAGCAGCCAATGAGATTTCTAAAACATAGATCAGGTAGCTCTCCTGCTCAAATCCTTGAAATAATAACTTTCCATTTCTCTCAGAGTAAAATCAAACACCTCATACTGGCCTATAAGAATACATTACCTATTAATATCTTACATTGCATTTTTAAAATACCAACAGAAAATAACTCTGCCAACCCTAAATTCTACAGCCAGTGAAAATATCCCAGAGAAATTATAGTAAAAAAAAGACATTCTGAAATGAAGGAAAACTGGGAGAATTCACTGTTAGCAGATCTCCTGTGAAAGAAATCCTGCAGAGAGTTCTTCAGACTGAGGAATGGATACCAGAGGAAAATTTAGAACTTCAGGAATGAAGAGCAACAGAAATAGTAAATATATGACAAAATACAAAAAAACTAGTTTTCTCTTTTCAGAACAGCTTGGTTGAGGTATAATTGATATATAAGAAACTGTACATATTTAATATATATAATTCAATGAGTTTGGACATATGCATACATACTTGAAACCATTATTACAATCAAGGTAATAGACATATCCATCACCTGTAAAAGTTTCCTTATGCCTCTTTATTTTTTGTTGCTGTTGTTGTTGTTACTGCTATTGCTGATGTTATAGGAACACTTAATATGAGATCTACCCTCTTGGCAGATGTTTTTTATTAGGAACAGCAAGAATTTCTTAGCAAAATTTTAAGTACACAATACTATACACTTGTTAACAATAGGCACTGTATTATACAGAAGAACTTAGAACTTATTCTTACGTAACTAAAACTTTATAACCACTGAACGACAACTCCACATTTCTCCCTCCGTCTAATCCCTGGAAACCACCATTTTATTTTCTACTTCTATGAATTTGACTATTTTATATATTTCACATAAATGGAATCATGCAGTATTTGTCCTTTTGTGCCTGACTTATTTCAGTTAGCATAATATCCTCCACGATCATCCATGTTGTCACAAATGGCAGGATGTTCTTCTTTTTCAAGACTGAATAATATTGATTTATGAATATATCACTTTTTTTTATTTCACTTATCTGCCACTAAGCTTTTCAGTTGCTTCCATATCTTGGCTATCATGAATAACACATTTAGAAGAATTAAATTGGACCTCTATCTTACACCATACACAAAAATTGACTAAAAATGAATTAAAGACTTAAATATAATACTGAAAGTGTAAAACTACTAGATGAACATATAGAGGAAAAGTTTTGTGACATTGGTCTTGGCGATGGTTTCTTGGATATGATACCAAAAGCACAGGCAACAAAGGCAAAAATAGACAGTTGGAATTGCATCAAACTAAAAACCTTCTGCACAGCAAAGGAGGAACTTACAGAAAGGGAGAAAATATTTGCAAACCATACATCTGATAAGGAGCTAATATCCAAAATATGTAAGGAACTCCTAAAACTCAGTAGTAAAAAAAAAAAACAATTAAAAAAATGGGCAAAGGACGTGAATAGACGTTTCGCCAAAGAAGACATAGAAATAGCCAACAGGTATATGAAAAGATGCTCAATATTACTAATCATTAGGAAAATGCAAATCAAAACCACAGTGAGATCTCACCTCACGAATGTTAAGAGGGCCATTATAAGAATATATATAACAAGTGTTGGTGAAGCTGTGACAAAATTGGAACCCTGTACACTATTGTGGGAATGTAAAATGGTGCAGCTGCTATAGAAAAACTTTATGGAGTTACCTCCAAAAATTAAAACTATAATAGAACTACCATATGATCCTGCAATCCTACTTCTGGGTATACATCCAACAGAATTAAATCGAAATTTCAAACAGATAGCTGCATTTCCACCTTAATTACAGCATTATTCACAATAATTTCTCTTCTTAATTAATTTAAAATGCCTGTGACTACTGAAATCAATTGTTATAACATCGTCTGTTGGGGTTTTCAAAGTCTGAAGATCAAAGACATCTGACCACTATAACATAAAAAGGTGAGTGAGGATAAAGTAACCTACAAAATTGTGAGATTTCTGTATTTTTCTTGAAGCAATGAAATAAATCTAAACAGACTGTGAAAGATTAAGTAACAGGGATAATGCAATCCTTAGAGAAAGCACTAAAAACATGTTACAAAAAGAAATAGGCAAAAAGCAAATAGATAAATTATGATAGAATATTGAGGAACAAAAACAGAGGGTACAAATGGGTAATAAATAATAAAATGGTAAACTTAAACCTAACTATATCAATAATTATATTAAATTTAAATGGTCTAAACACAAATTTAAAGACAGATTATCAGCATGGATTCTTCTTTTAAAAAGATTCATCCACATACTGTCTACATAACACCTACTTTAAATACATATAATGGTATAGATAGATTAAAATTAAAATAATAGGAAAAGTATCCATAAAAACACTAATCAAAAAAAATCTGGAACGGCTATGTTAATGTCAGACACATGAGACTTCAGAAAAAGAAATATTACAGAAATATAGAGGGATATTGGATAATTATAAGAGGATTAATTCTCTAAGAGAACAGAATGTTAAATGTGTTTGCAAATGACAACAGAGCTTCCAAATACTCGAAGCTAAAACTGTTAGAACTCAAAGAAAAATAGACAAAAACCACAATTACACTTGGGGACTTTAACCCTTCGTGTTTGGTAAGTAATAGAATAAGTAGCTAGGAAATCAGCAAAGACACAGCAGACCTACCCGACATTATCAACCAATTTGACTTTATCGATATTTATGAACACTCATTCAACAACAGCAGAAAGCACATAAATGGTGCTTAGAAGAAAATTTATAACAGTAAATATTTACACTAGAAGAAGAAAAAAGTCTCAAATCAATCTCATTCCTTCTTTGAGTGTGTCCCTGGTAATGATGTCCTATATCGAAAAAAAAAAAAATCCCAGCAATCCAGGAAACTCTTTTTTGAGTTCAGGCAAACAAGAGTATTTTCTACTGCTACTGTACCAGGTACCCAGCTGAAAAATGATAAGCTTCTTGTAATTTAAATTTCTCTCCTATGCTCAAAGATTAAATTGAGATCAATTCTATTCACATCATATGCCTAAGTCCTGGTTATGAGCTTTCCTATTATAGTGATGATCTCAGAAGAGGTACAGGAGAACCTTGTTCCTTCATCTTTTTAAAAAAATTATCACAGTTTTAAAAAAATTATCTGCCACAAAATAAATGCTATTAATATTATACACATCATGAATTATACTAGAACATTATAGGTTACCTTATAATACATCTACATATTTTCACACAAGATGAGACATCACTAATTGTTAAATGGAACTATGTGTCACCATGCTTTCCCTTATCCTTTGAAGGGACAAGCAGAAAAATATTCAAGTCATGCAGTGACTCAAGCCTGTGAACAAATGGTAAAGCTGGTAGAGTAAACCAAGACTGGGAACTAGCTGGGAGTAGCATATGATAAGCCCATGAACTCAGAATAGAGTGGAATGTGAGGAGTGCATAGCCCTTCCCAGTGCAATGTGCCCGCCTTTCTCTTTAGTTTTCACTAAATACATCTCAATATAACAATATAATAACATGCTGACATCTCATTTAATTGTCAGAAGCATTATAGGACATAATGAAAGAAAAAATCAGCTGTTCTATATTCTATTTGATCTGTGAGAGTATAACAATCAATTTTTTGTGGGCAAGTATAGAGAAAGTATATGAGAACTCTTTGTACTTTCAGCTCAATTTTTCTGTAAACCAACAACTGCTCTAAAATTAAAGTCTACTAACTTTTAAAAATCAATTTTAATATAGAAGCTAAAAAGAAAAAAGAAAAATCAGTCCTATGAGCTCCATCTCATAGAAAATATTTACTATGGCCAGCTCAGATTGTTTATCACTTTCCTGCACTGCCTATTCTCTTCAACTTTTGTGTTGGTGCTTCTCTGGTTGTGTGTTCACTATGCAGCATGCATTATGTGAGATTTTTGCATATATTAGATAATTTAATTACAATAACATGGAAAGTAGAAGTGATTCTTGCTAGGTAAAACAATACAATAAGTCATTTAAGACAGTACGTTTATGCATTGAATAGACATGTGTCCAACTCTCAATGCCATCATCAATTGAATTATAGTAGGAAAGTTAATAACATTTTAAATTCCAGTTTTATCCTCTGTACACAGGGATCATCATCATCATCATCATCATCATCATCTCATTAAAAGTTGCTTCAATGATCAAATAATAAAAGATATTTAGCTCATATGGAGGCTGAGAAAACAAATAATTTTTACTCATAATCACATATCTAGTACATTGTGGAGAGTAAACTGAGTTTAATCCCTAGCTAGCATGTTCTCACTTGTAAATGGGAGCTAAGCTATGGCTACGCAAGGACACACAGAGTGGTATCAACAGACACTGGAGACTTAAAAGCTGTCAGAGTAGGAGGGGGATGAGGGATGAGA